GAGCATCTCGGGGGGCCAAAGGGACAAGGAAGGGGAAGGGGGAAGAGAACGGGGAAGAAAGGGAAAAAGAACAGGAAAGAAAAGAGAAAGAAAGGGGAAGGAGAAGGAGAAAGAAAGAGAAAGAAGAGAAAGGGGAAAGAAAGGAGAAAGAAAGGGGAAGGGGAAAAAGAACAGGGAAAGAAAGGAGAAAGGAAGGAGAAGGAGAAAGAAAGGAGAAAGAAAGGGGAAGGGGAAAGAGAACGGGGAAGAAAGGGAAAGAAAGAGAAAGGGGAAAAGAAAGGAAAAGAGGGGGAAGGGGAAGAAGAAAGAACGGGGAAGGGGAAAGAAAGAGAAAGGGGAAAGAAAGGAGAAAGAAAGGGAAGGGGAAGGAGAAAGAAAGAGAAAGGAGAAAGAGAACGGGAAAGAAAGGGGAAGGGGAAGAAGAAAGAACGGGGAAGGGGAAAGAAGGAGAAAGGGGAAAGAAAGGAGAAAGAAAGAGAAAGGAGAAAGAGAACGGGAAAGAAAGGGGAAGGGGAAGAAGAAAGAACGGGGAAGGGGAAAGAAAGAGAAAGGGGAAAGAAAGGAGAAAGAAAGGGGAAGGGGAAAAAGAACGGGGAAAGAAAGGAGAAAGGAAGGGGAAGGAGAAGGAGAAAGAAAGGGGAAAGAAAGGAGAGGGGGAGGAAGGGGAAGGAGAAAGGAAGAGAAAGAAGAAAGAGAAAGGGGAAAGAAAGGAGAAAGAAAGGGGAAGGAGAAGGAGAAAGAAAGAGAAAGAAGAAAGAGAAAGGGGAAAGAAAGGAGAAGGGGAAGAAGAAAGAACGGGGAAGGGGAAAGAAGGAGAAAGGGGAAAGAAAGGAGAAAGAAAGAGAAAGGAGAAAGAGAACGGGAAAGAAAGGGGAAAGAAGGAGAAAGGGGAAAGAAAGGAGAAAGAAAGGGAAGGGGGAAAAGAACAGGGAAAGAAAGGAGAAAGAAAGGGGAAGGGGAAAGAAAGAGAAAGAGAAAGAAGAAAGAACGAGGAAAGAAAGGAGAGAGGGGGGAAGGGGAGGAAGAAAGAAAGGGGAAGGAGAAAGAAAGAGAAAGAAGAAAGAGAAAGGGGAAAGAAAGGAGAAAGAAAGGAGAAAGAAAGGGGAAGGGGAAGGGAAAGAAAGGGAAAGAAGAAAGAGAAAGGGAAAGAAAGGAGAGGGGGAGGAAAGGGAAAGAAAGGGAAAGGAGCGAGCGAAGAACGAAAGAGGGGTGGGGGGGGGTCTCCGGAGCGCAAAAGCGGCGCTGCCGACCTTCCTCCTCGCTCTCCAGACAGCTCCGGGGCGCGGCTCCCTTACCCTCCGGCGAGCGGGCGGGCGGCGCCGGGTTCAGCAGGGCGGAGGCATCGTCGGAGACCCGACCGGGAAGAGCCCAGCGGCGCCCCCATGGCGCGCCACCCCCAGCCCGCCCCTCCGCCCCCAGCCCCGCTGACTGCGTGGCTCCTCCTGCGCTCTGGCGCCGGACCAAAGCCGGCCTCGGGGAAAAGGGGAGGGCGGCTCCTGAGCATGCACAGAGGGCGGGCCCTTCCTGCAGGCCGGCCGGGGCTCTGCTAGGGAGGGGCGCCAAAGGGACTCCCGGGACTTGCCAAAGAGGCTTGTAAAGCCCCTCCCTAGCAGAGCCCCGGCCGGCCTCCAGGAAGGGCCGCACTCTGTACATGCTCAGGAGCACCTTTTTTAAAAAAAGGGCCGTTCAAAGAGGCTGCTTTCCCCATGCGGAGGGTCGCTGCTGCGTCTCTGCAGGAGTCCCTGCTCTGGGCTGGGTTTTCTAAAGCTGGGTGGGGTCTGCGCAGGTGGGAGTTGACTGGAATAGAGTGGCAGGTGTCAATCCAATCGTGCATCCAGACTGGACATGGTCAGGGGAGTGTCCCCGTGCTGTCTCTGCATGAGTCCTATTAAAGAGCCTTGGTGGCCCAGCGGACTAAAGTGCTGTTAAAGTAGCACTTAGCTGCCAGCTGCCTGCAATTACTGCGAGTTCGAATCTCACCAGGCTCAAGGTTGACTCAGCCTTCCATCCTTCCGAGGAAGGTAAAATGAGGACCCGGATTGTGGGGGCAATAAGCTGACTTTGTATTAAAAAAAGAACACCGTTTGGGGGGCCCGAAAGCCCTACGAAGCAGGTATATACAAAAGGATGAAGGCTATTGCTTAACGCATTGTAAGCCGCCCTGAGTCTCCGGAAAGGGCGGCATATAAATCGAACCAATCAATCAATCAGTCAATCAGTCAATAATCAATCAATAGGAAAAGCCACACAACCAGGCAGTCAGATTAAGAACGCACCTGATGAGGTGGAGTAAGCTGAAATATCACGACCGAGGGTGGGGGTGGGGGTGGGAAATCCCTCCAAGTGAACAGGAATTATTATAATAATATTATAATAAATGTTTTTATACATTTGTCTTTATATTTGGCTGTCGTTCACTGCCCGGAGTCACTTTTTGTGAGATGGGTGGCCAAATAAATTTGATTAATAAAATAAAAATAAAAAATAAAGAAAAGAAAACCATAAAATAAATAATAAAATGAAATAAAAGAAAACCATAAAATAAAAGAAAACCATAAAATAAAATAATTAAATAATAAAAATAAAATAAATAAAAATAATAAATAATAAAATAAAATAAATAATAATAATAAATAATAAAATAAAATAAAATAAAATAAAGAACTTTGGCCTCTTTGCAGTAAAATCAACCCCCTACCCTAATCATACTTTTTATTATAACCCTAGAACTAAGGAAAAAGTTCCTGACAGAACAATTAACCAATGGAACTGCTTGCCTCCAGAAGTTGTAAATGCTCTATCACAGGAAGTTTTTAAGAAGAGATCGGACAACCATGTGTCTGAAATGATATAGGGTTTCCTGCCTAAGCAGGGGGTTGGACTAGAAGACCTCCAAGGTCCCATCCAATTCTGTTATTCTATTCTATCCCATCCCATTCCATTCCATTCCATTCCATATTTTCTATTCTATTCTATTCTATTCTATTCTATTCTATTCTATTCTATTCTATTCTATTCTATTCTATTCTATTCTATTCTATTCTATTCTATTCTATTCCATTCCATTCCATTCCACTCCACTCTACTCTACTCTACTCTACTCTCTACTCTACTCTACTCTCTACTCTACTCTACTCTACTCTACTCTACTCTACTCTTGTGGACTTCAATTTCCAGAATTCCTGAGCCAGCCTGGTTCAAGCTTGCTCAGGAATTCTGGGAACTGAAGTCCAGAGGTCGTAAAATTGCCATAGTTACCCATCCCGGCTTAGGAGGTACCCGGCTGCTTGCTCAAGAAGATCACAAGCTTAGTTAAATAGAACCTCCATATTAAAGGGCAGTATACCTCCAAAATGCACGCCCTGGGATTGATTCGTCGTGGGCTTTTTTCTGGAGTTGGAAAGAGATGGTCAGACTTTCAGGGCGCGGTTGAGGAAACGGGCCTCCAAAGTCTGGGTGGATCGTACCCTTTTAAAAATAAACACCCTTAAAGCAATAAAGGTGTTTTTATTATTATTATTATTATTGGTTAATCTTTAGTGAGATTCACAGCCTTTGAGGCTGGTTAATAGCTCAGCAGCTCGAGTCCTAACCAAGGACCTAGGAACTGTTAAGGTATCGTCGGAGGATATAAGCTGTTCCGAGTAAGGTGGTTTTTTGTAGAGTCAAAATGTATTATTATTATTATTATTATTATTATTATTATTATTATTATTATTATTATTATTATTATTATTATTATTAGTTAATCTTTAGTGAGATTCACAGCCTTTGAGCCTGGTTAATAGCTCAGCAGCTCGAGTCCTAACCAAGGACCTAGGAACTGTTAAGGTATCGTCGGAGGATGTAAGCTGTTCCGAGTAAGGTGATTTATTATTATTATTATTACTATTATTACTATTATTACTATTATTATTATTATTATTTAATCTTTAGTGAGATTCACAGCCTTTGAGGCTGGTTAATAGCTCAGCAGCTCGAGTCCTAACCAAGGACCTAGGAACTGTTAAGGTATCGTCGGAGGATGTAAGCTGTTCCGAGTAAGGTGGTTTTTTGTAGAGTCAATTTATTATTATTATTATTATTATTATTATTATTATTATTATTATTATTATTATTATTATTATTATTTCTGCTGGAATGCAGAAAAGCAGCCCTCGCCACATAATAAACCTTGAAATATTCTGCTTTAAAACTCGGTTTCTTCAGCGTTAAGCCCGATTAGAAGACAAGGATATGTTTGATTCGCTCATCAGAATGTGAATAGGACAGTGGAGAAAAGGAGCGTTCCAAAAAAAAAAAAACAGGCATGAAGTGGGATTTGTTTGATTTTTATTCAACCGAGCATGAATGTCACAGAAACACAAATTTGTGCCTCACGGATCAAAACTCCAGCCTGCAGATTTTTCCTTTTTTCTAATCTGATTTGCCCATGGTGCTAAACGGGTTTATTTAAAGATGTTTTATTTTATTTTTTTTAAAAAAATAGTTGCTTTTTTTTTGCATAAGCAGAGGTTTATAGAAAGACTGCATTCACCCAACAACCGAATGGTAATCCAACAGTATCATTGGGGTGTGTGTGTGTGTGTGATATGAATAGCAGCGTTCCAATATCTGAGAGGCTGCCACAAAAAAAGAGGAAGGGTCAACCTATTTTTCCAAATATGCACCTGAAGGCAGGACAAGAAGCAACGGATGGAAACTAAACGAGGAGAGAAGCAACTTAGAACTAAGGAGGAATTTCCTGACCGTGAGAACAATTAACCGGTGGAACAGCTTGCCACCAGAAGTAAATGGGCGCTTCATCATTGGAGGCTTTTAAGAAGAGACTGGACAGCCATTTGTCCAGAATGGTGTAGGGCCATGATGGCGAATCTATGGCACGCGTGTTGCAGGTGGCACACGGAGCCATATCGGTGGGCACACAAGCGTTGCCCTAGCTCAGCTCCAACACGCATGCATGCACCAGTCAGCTGATTTTCGGGCCTTCTGTGCCTCCTGGAAGTCGGGAAACAGGCTGTTTCCGGCCTCTGGAGGGCCTCCAGCGGGGTTGGGAAGGCTGTTTTCGCCCTCCCCAGGCTCCAAGAAAGCTCTTCTCTGCGCTATTTCTAGAATCTCCACATTTTTTTTACATCGTGGCGACGAAAACTGGATGCAGGATTCCAAGTGTGGCCTTACCAAGGCCTTTTAAAGTGGTCTTAACACTTCACTGTTCTTAAAAAACCTAGAGGAAAATAAAATATAAATACACCAGCACCCCCAAATGCTGGGCTGCATGGTTGCAATATTTTCCTTCTTTCTAGGTTTCACATAATTGTTTTCCTCACACCAGAGTTTTCTGGGTTCAACACCCGTTTATCGCTTTTAAAAAAACCAAAAAACAAACAAACCGGGGAACGGAAAGGAAAATTGTACCAAGAACCATTCCTTTGTTTTTAAATCAGGAACTTTTCGAGAGCTTGTGGCCTTCGCAGCTGTCCCCTTCCTGTTTCCCCACAAATTATCCATCTTCCTTATACGTCTAGGACAGGGGTCAGCAATCTGCGGCTCTGGAGCCGCATGTGGCTCTTTCACCCCTCGGCTGCGGCTCCCTGTCACTCAAAATATCACTCACAGCTGCCAATGTGTGACACTTGCTGGCACGTGATTTATTGAGTTTCTCAACCCCCGGTAGGCCAACCATGGATAAATGCAAGAAAAGAAAAGTTTCAGAAGAAAACAGAACGTTTAATTCGACGACGTATGCTAGTTTTGTGGCCGCTCAAGAAATAGTCAGGCACGGGAAGGATTTTGTGGCTCCCGGTGTTTTCTTTTCTGTGGGAAACGGGTCCAAATGACTCTTTGAGTGTTTAAAGTTGCAGAATCCCTGGTCTAGGAGAAAACGCTGTTTTCTGGGCAGGCTTGCAAATGTGCAGCACTTCTCAAGCAGTATGCTTGCTGATTGCTTCTTCAGTCATCACATCCAACAACCAGCTAAGACACTGCCAAAGAAATACGCACTGGGGTGTCGTTTCTCACCTTCCCCATCCTTTCCTCCGTCGACGCAGCCCCTGTGCGGAGAGATGGCAAGAGACTTGGCTCAAAACAACAAAGGTGGCAAGGAAAAAAACACAACAAATCGGTAAGTCAAACAGGACTAGAAACTTGATTCTGATTGTCTGGATTTAAATGCGTCAGGATAAAGACATTTTGGAAAATTGTTCTCAATCTGCCATCCTTTTTTGGGGGGAAGGGGCTTCCAGCAGTGCCATATCTGTCCACTAGCCCAGCTGAGCTATGCCTGGGAGACCCCTGGACATCCCTAAATCACTGCAATATAGGAATAAAAGTGATGCTGTTTTGGTATCATCTGGCAGATCCTTTTGCTGGATCCCAGAAGGGATCTGCCCAGGAATCCTTTCCAAAAGTAGAAAGCTCAAATCAAAGGATTCCTAAAAGTCAGAGCTGAATAATCACAAACTGTCCTGAGTCATGCAAGAATTAGAAACATGACAGAAATGCATTAGGAGGGAAGGGAAGGAAGGAAGGAAGGAGGAAAGAAAGAAAAAAAAGAGTGGAAGAAAGAAAGACTGTGGAAGAAAGAAAGTGGAAGGGAGGGAGGGAGGAAAAAAGGAAGGGAGGGGAGGGAGGGAAGGAAGGAAGGAAGAGAAAAAAGAAAGACAGTGGAAGGAAGGAAGGAAGACTGTGAAGAAAGTGGAAGGAAGGGAGGGAGGGAAAAAGGAAGGGAGGGAAGGAAGGAGGAAAGAAAGAAAGAGAAAAAAGAAAGCAGTGGAAGAAAGAAAGAAAGTGGAAGGGAGAGAGGGAGGAAAAAAGGAAGGGAGGGAAGGAAGGAAGGAGGAAAGAAAGAAAAAAGAAAGACAGTAGAAAGAAGAAAGACAGAATATGGAAGAAAGAAAGTGGAAGGAAGGAAGGAAAAAAGGAGGGAGGGAGGGAGGGAGGGAGGGAGGGAAGGAAGGAAGGAAGGAAGGAAGGAAGGAAGGAAGGAAGGAAGGAAATTAAGACAGGCAGGCCGGTGATGAAAACAGTTCTCTGAAATAGGAGAAATCACACTAATGTTATCTGTTATTGCATTCAAGAGAGCACAGAAGAAAATTTTACTCTTCTTTAAGGAAATCGCACCCAAACACACAGTGGTGCATTGCGCCAGGTTTCTAGTCCTCAACCTTGCAAAAAAAAAAAACCCCTCCAGAAAACTTCAAAAAATACCTCCCACATCTAGCCATCAGGTTTCTAGTCCTCAATCTGGCAAAAAAGTATGAACTAATACTCAAGCTTTATTTGTTGTGATTGTAAAAAGGGGACAAATGTCAGACCGATGTCTCAGCTGTCAGAACAAGGCCAAAAAACAAATAAAAGAAAGATAAGAAGAAAAAAAATAGGCCTTTTGACACCTTCAGTTGCAATGCAAAGAAACGGCAAAGACTTTTTCAGCCGGGCAAAGCTATCCAAATAAACTCAATAAACAAACTCAAGTGGCAAAAAACTTTTTTTTTTAACATTGGGTACCTAAGTGTAGCACAACCAACCCACAAAATTCTTTGTATGAATGCCATCTTTAACTCAACTGCAAAAAATATCCGAGTTCCGTTATTAAACCAACAATGTTTACAAAAAAGTGAATAGCTCGACATTGAAAGAGATCAAGAATGTAATTTTTGTTATCCCAGAAGAAAGAAAAAGAAAGAAAGAAAGAAAGAAAGAAGCAGGGAGGGAGAGAAGGAAGGAAGGAGGGAGGAGAGAAGAGGAGGGAGGGAGGAAGGAATGAAGGAAGGAGAGATGAAAATGGGGAGGGAAGGAAGAAGATAAGTTGGGGGGAGGGAGGAGAAAGAAGGAAGGAAGAAAGGAAAGAAGCAAGCAGGGAGGGAGGGAGAAGGAAGGAAGAAAGGGAGGGAAGGATAAAATGGAGGAAAGAAAGGAAGGAAGGGGAGGAGCAAAGAAGGAAGGAAAAAGGGAGGGGAGGAGGGAAAGAAAGAAAGAAGGAAGGAAAGAAAGAAGCAAGCAGGGGGGGAGAGAAGGAAGAAAGGGAGGGAAGGATAAAATGGAGAGAGGGAGGGGATAAAATAGAGAGGGAGGGAGGAAGAAAGGAAGGGGAGGAGCAAGGAAGGGAGGAAAGGGGGGAAGGGAGGGAAAGAAAGAAGGAAAGAAAGAAGCAAGGAGGGAGAGAAGGAAGAAAGGGAGGGAGGGAAGGAAGGATAAAATGGAGAGAGGGAGGGGATAAAATGGGGAGGAGCAAAGAAAGAAGGAGGGAGGGAAAGAAAGAAAAAAGGAAGGAAGGATTAGAGGAACTCAGAAAGAAAGAAAAGGGGAAGGAAGGGAAAAACAGAAAGAGTAAAATAAAAAAATAGGGAAGAACTGGAGAAATAAAATTTTAAAAAAAGGACGCAGGGAGGAAAAGCGGAGAGTTGAGCCTACCTGTTCCAATGGCATCTTTCTCCAACTGCTTCCGAGACAGGACAAACGCCTGTCCTGTCCCCCACCGCCATGGGCACAGATCTGGCACAGGAGCACCTTCCTCTCTCTGGGTGGGGCCTCTCCCCAGGTAGCCTTTTAACCCAGTGTGGTCACCCCAGGTGTGTATGTGTGTCTCTCCCTCTCTCTCGTGCACACACACATACACTACACAGCAAAGACCAACCTTTGACTGGGGCGAGCTGACTCCAGCCACACCTGCCCAGATCCTCCAGAGCTGGAAAAAGCGACAAGGGAGTTGTGTATACATATATGTCACACAAGTCACTTGATCTGAACGTCGCCTCTTGCGGCTACATCCTGGTCCAGGCCGCACACAGAGAGGGCAGGAATGCAAAACTTGGCTTTTGTGTGTGCGTGTGTGGGGACAGGCAGTGTGTGTGGGGGGGGGGAGGAAGAGCCGGAGCTGAAAACCCAAACAGATCTTCAAGCGGCTAGTCCCTTTGAATCGAGTTTGCTTGTCGGCTCGATATTGTTTTTGCTTTTTTTCCTGCCTTTAAACATAAATGAGTTGGACACGGCTTAATTCCTCCCCTCCCGGTGGATTTTATCCTGGAAATTCTTTATTATATGGTAACGGGGCAAAAAAGAGTTAGGGGGGAAAAAAATCCCCCCCTCGGCCGCTTTTATTTATTTAATTTATTATATTTCTATACCGCCTTTCTCCCGTAGGACTCAAGGCGTTGTACAGTCGAGAAAACTATAGACACACAAACATCATAAAATTGCTAATTAAAGTTATTACTTAGTTTTAGAAGTTGTAAACTTTGGGGAGGAAGGGGGTTTCAATTCCCAGCCAAGCCCACTTCTCCGAACGGGCGTCCATTCTCAGCAAAATTATTTCCCCAAGAGGACGGGTTAAGAGGGAGAGAAATAAACGGGAGCGAGCAAAGGGCAGCTCACACCCTAAACATACACACACACACTCAGGAGTGAATGAGTCACTGGCAGCCAGAAACCAACAGCAAATAAGGTTGTGAGGGACCCACAAAAAAACACAGAAGCGTTACGCAACGTTGACAAGAGATTGCTGACTAATGGAGTCATTCCTAAGCTTTGCACCCTTCTAGCCAGGTGCAAATGCAATCTGAGGCGTGTTTTTGCTGCATCTCTGGCTTCAGATGCAATCTCAGGAGTGTTCCTGCTGCATCTCTGCATGATAACCTATTCTGGGCTCACTTCCTCTAAGAAAGCACCCCCTCCGCCACATTTGCAAAGGAGTCCGGCCATCGCCTCCCCGAGTCCATTGTTGCCAGCTTCCTGTTACGAAGGCTTAGAAAAACTTGGAAGGGACGAGGTTCCAAAGGGATCCACAAGATCACAAGAAAGCTGGGGGGGGGGAGGTGTTAGAGGAGGGATTCGCGACAATGTATGACCGGCATAGCTTGGGATTTTTTTTTTTTTAGGTTCATTCATTCATTCATTCATTGTATTGATTAGCCCTTGAACCATACCGAAGTGCGGCACTCCAGAAACAAATTATTCCTAAAATTCGATAGAAGCCATTTCAAATAGAATTTGGATATAAAATACCATTTCAAATGAAATTGGGATAAAATGCAGTCTAAAATGAAATTGGGATAAAATACAGTCTAAAATGAAATTGGGAGAAAATACAGTCTAAAATGAAATTTTGACGCGGTGGCTCAGCGGCTGAGACGCTGAGCTTGTCGATCGAAAGGTCGGCAGTTCAGCGGTTCGAATCCCGAGCGCCGCATGATGGGGTGACTAGCCCCAGCTTCTTCCAACCTAGCAGTTCGAAAGCACGTAAAAAAAAAATGCAAGTAGAAAAAATAGGGGCCACCTTTGGTGGGAAGGGAACAGCGTTCCGTGCGCCTTTGGCGTTGAGTCATGCCGGCCACAGGACCACGGAGACGTCTTCGGACAGCGCTGGCTCTTCGGCTTTGAAAGGGAGAGGAGCACCGCCCCCTAGAGTCGGGAACGACTAGCACATATCTGCGAGGGGAACCTTTACCTTTACCTTAAAATGAAATTGGGATAAAATACAATCATTTAAGATTGAGAGAAAATACAATTATATATTTCGGTGTCACCACCCCTACAATCTACTCCAATCGGTCCCACCTAATGCAGCTCTCAGCTGAACCATTTTGTTTTTAAGTCCTGTGCTACGTTAAATGTTATTTTCAGATGCTGGCCGCACGTACAGGATGTTATTTTGATATATATATATACAAAAAACTACAAAAAACCTTGGTTACGTAGGGAAAACCTGGCTAGAAGAAAAACATATATATATATATATGAAAGAAAGAAAATTGATATAAATATATATATATGTAAAGCTGTGTAAAAATGAGTGTCTAAAAGGAGGGAGTGATGAAACGAGAAGAAATAGAGACATCAAGATGGGATTAAATTATCAACTACCGTTCTCTCTAATTCCGAAGCCATTATATATTCTCCGGGCGGGATACGATGATGCAGAAGCCTTAACTTAATCAAGAGACTTTTTTTCCAGCTTTGACTCATTGAAACAAGACGTGGAAGAAAAAGACAAGCGATGGGTTGGAAGGCACCTCATCAAACTCCCATCCAGCAACTTCATTAAAGGTAAAGGTTCCCCTCGCACATATGTGCTAGCCGTTCCTGACTCTAGGGGGCGGTGCTCCTCTCCCTTTCAAAGCCGAAGAGCCAGCACTGTCCGAAGACATCTCCGTGGTCATGTGGCCGGCATGACTCAACACCAAAGGCGCACGGAACGCTGTTCCCTTCCCACCAAAGGTGCTCCCTATTTTTTCTACTTGCATTTTTTAAGTGCTTTCGAACTGCTAGGTTGGCAGAAGCTGGGACGAGTCACGGGAGCTCACCCCGTTACGCGGCGCCCGGGATTCGAACCGCTGAACTGCCGACCTTTCGATCGACAAGCTCAGCGTCTTAGCCACTGAGCCAACGCGTCCCTATGAGCAACTTCATTAAGCCTCGCTTAATTAGATCAATCCTTTTTTTTTCTCTCTTTCTTCTTCTTCTTCTTCTCTTTCTTCTAAATCAAATGCGTCAGTTGTTTGCAAAAGTGACTCGTTTGCCCTGGAACTGCGCTTGCTGCCAGAATCCTGTCGGTGGATTATGGGACTTGGAGGAATGCAGCTGGCTTAGGGAGGGCTTTGCACCCTGAATTGGGAGGGATGGGTGTCGGAGAATCCTTCCCGAAATTTAACAGATGGCTGCGTTGTCCCTGGGTCACCTCTGCGAAGGAAGAACGCTTCTGTTTGCCGTTTGCTCTTTTCGCTTTCTTGCAACCCCCCCCCCCTCTCCACACACACACACACACAAACTCACACAAACGCACACTGACAGTTGTAAAGTGTAAACTTACTTTCAAGGAAAAGGTGGGTCCTGAAAAATGCATCCAGGGACTGGAGTCACACAGGAGTTGTGATGAGTTTGTGGGCGGCTGTCTGCCTGATCTTTAACAAGTCTAGACTAGTCCAAGCAAAATCAGCTTTTTTTTTTTCTTTTCTTTTCTTTTTTTTTAAACTTCCCTCCTCTAGGCTGCAGATGAGCAAAACAAGCCCCACAGAACGAGCTAAGCCATTCAGCTGTGGCTTCACAGGAACAACAACCCAGCTAGGTCGGCCACTCCTGCGAAAATAGGTGGGGAGGGGAAAAAAAAGAAGAAGAGACAAGTCCTTTTGTAGTGGATTGCAGAAGAACTTCTTTCTGCGCCGGTTTTCGAGTCGCTTCTTCGGGGAGAAAAGCTTAAGATCGGACAAGAAAGGAAAAGGCAACTTGATCTACCCCGCGGGGTCGTTGTGTCAGATTTCAATAAGGTTGGGAACGAGGAAAGGCACGCAGCCTGCAAGTCACACACCCTCTCTCTCTCTCTCTCTCTCTCTCCAAAAATCAGAAATTCGTCTGCGCTGGTGGAAATTTGAACCCGTGACCGGGTTCGCTTCTCAGCCTGTGAAATGGAGCAATGCGGATCGGAAGAAGCGCAGAGACACCTCAAAGGATGTATCTGCACCAGGGGTTTTTTTTTTGGATTTCTGATCTCTGGAGAACCAACCTTGGACGCTGGACGTTGCCAGGAGTGGGAGGGAAAGTGAATTTGGAAAGTCCGCGTGGATGCTGATAATAATGCAATGAATATGCCTAGGCTGGAAAAGAACCAACTATGGGGGAAAACACAATAAAAGGGGTTTTTTTGTTCTTTTTAGAAAGAACGCAGCTCTTTCAGATGAGTCTCCTGTGATAGAGATTACTAGCAGTTGCAGGGAGCTATAGCTAGATGACAGGTAGATAGCTAGATGATAGCTAGATAGCTAGATAGCTAGATGAAAGATAGATCGATAGATCGATAGATCGATAGATCGATAGATCGATAGATGATAGATAGATAGATAGATAGATAGATAGATAGATAGATAGATAGGGTGAATGAGTGAGTGAGTAGAGGCAGATATTTCCATCTCTGGGCACAATGAGAATATATATATGCTGAACAAACTCCGTATTGGCGACAGGAAAGGCATCTGGCCATTAAACACTCCGTCAGCTCCATTCAGTTGCCCAGACTCCACCCTGCAAGAGATTATGGGGTCGTTAAAAGACGATGATAGATAGATAGATAGATAGATAGATAGATAGATAGATAGATAGATAGATAGAAGGGATTTTTTAAGGCAAGGCACAATTGGAAGGAGTTTGAATGCTAATCTATTCAAAAAAACCCAGGGGGGAAAAAAGCCAAATGCCTTGATAAAGGCCATCAAAGGAACAATACAAGCACCAGGTTTAGTGGCAGTCTACCTTAGAAGAAGAAGAAAAATCCAGTGACACCACCGAAAAGAGGAAGAGGGTGCAGACTGAATCCTTGGTGGATTTAAAGACAGAAATAGGTCTGGCCTAGGTTGATATAAAAGGACAAACTATGTTGGTTTTGGAATAATTTGGAAATGCATCCTTTGTTTGCAGTGGGGGACAGGCTGCAGCGGTGACATCATACGTCCCCCAAATCAGGCAGCCATTATTCATTATTTTTGAGACCCTTCAGTTCATCCATCCGTGGCTGGGCGTTTTATAAATCCTCGCAAATTCTGAACAGAAAAAATTGTCATTTCCCTCCATTAACCAGTATCAAGAGCCCCCCCCCAACTCCCCAATCCCTACAATTTTCCCTCCCATTTTTAATCATCCAAAGATTTCCAAATAAGAGGCTGGAATTGCCAAATGTGCCAGCCAGGTTGCGAAAACCGCTTAAAAGTGCACGAGCGATGCACTTTTTAGAAAACTGCTTCGAACCTGTTTCTTCGGCAGGCCATTTTTCTCGGAGAGGGTTTCCCTCCGAAAAAAAATCCAACCCTTTAAATTGCCTTTCTCTTCTCAAGTCAAAGGGGAATTTAAAACAGCGAAGTCAAGGGGCTAGGCCTCATCGAGGCCCGCCGAGATCACCAGGGGGGGCCAGGGAGCGCAGCCTTGCCGACTCATCCCCTCTAAAGCAGCCGGAGTCGAAATTCAGAGCATCCGATACGGGCAACTTTTGCTCAGCGCCTGAAATCCATTTCCGGCGTGACCCATTTCCTGGGTTTTCAAGCCATAAAGTCAGCTAATGGAAGTTCCCCAGTTTGCAGGGATGGAAGGGCTGAAAAAAATAGGCAGGTAGGAAAGAAAAGAAAAGAAAAGAAAAGAAAAGAAAAGAAAAAAGGGGGGGGGGAAGGAAAAAAGCGGCATCAAGGAAGCAAATGTTTCACAACCAGCCAGATCTTGAAAAGGCGAATGGAAATCATTTTTCGGTGGTCCGGATGTAACTTGGCGTTAATTTTTCCCTGCAGTATTATTTAAAAGTCTCTTTTGACTTTGGAGCTGGAGTCAAACACCACACTGCCCTGTGCCAAGACAGAAAGAAGTACCTTCCACCACTTCCTTCCTGCGTCTTTCTCATCTGGAAATCAATCTATCTATCTATCTATCTATCTATCTATCTATCTATCTATCTAGCAATCAAATCTATCTATCTATCTATCTATCTATCTATCTATCTATCTAGCAATCAAATCTATCTATCTATCTAGCAATCAAATCTATCTATCTATCTATCTATCTATCTATCTATCTATCTATCTATCTAATCATCTATTTTTCCAATTCCCCAGCCTTGCTATCCATCCCACAATGCTTCTCTTCCCAAACCAAATTTACTCACGAGAAATTTGAGTCCCGATGCAACTTCTCCCAAGCACGGGGTGCTGCTGCTGCCGGCCGCGGCTTCGAATCTCTCCTTGGGTTTTCCGCAAATATTTCCGCTTTCGAACTCGGCACCCTGCCGAAAGGGCTCCCCACCCCCCCCACCCCGCTTCTCCCTTGGGTCTCTGGGAAGAGAGAGAGAGAGAAAAAGAAGACAACGTGGGGGGGGGGGAAAAAAGAAGCTGAAAAAAAATGAGTGGGGGGAAAGGGGGCAAGAAGGGGGGGGGTTGTTATAAGGTGGAGGGTGAAATTAGAATCGGGTCTAGCGAGTGATAGAAAGACATGGGGGGGTGGCATTAAGAGTGACCCCCAAAAAAGAGGTTGAATTGGATGCCTGCTTTCTCTCTCTCTCTCTCCCTCTCTCTTTTCCTCTGGTTGAAGAGAGGATGAAAGCAGAATTCATTACAACCCCTTCCCCCCCCCAAAAAAAAAGAAAAGAAAGAAAAAAGGAAAAGGAAAAGGAGAAAAAGCAAAAGTCGCGTACCTCTTTAGGGCAGAGAGAAGGACGAAAAAGCTGGCCGTCTCAAGCCAAGCACCGAAACTTGCTGCAATATTCGGCTTGCCGGAGAAAATGACATTGTCCAAGCAAACTGCTCCGCTCAGCACACTTCCAATAGTGCCGCAGCCGTGTAAAACCGGTGCTGCAGGATTTTTTTTGCACATCAAGATGTGCAGGAGGATCTTAAAGGGGCAGGCAGCTTACTCCAGGAAGGTCAGCCTGGAAAGGAGGAAGAAAGAAGAAGGGGGGGAGAGAGAGAGAGAGAGAGAGGAGCAATCAGGAGGGAGGGGGGGGCACGGCGCAGGCACCCTCAAGGTCGCCGGTGAAGAAAACTCCCGTGTCCCTGTACACGGTTCGGTCCCTTCCCGAAAAGGATCTTCCTTTGGGAGGGGAGAGAAAAGAGAGGCCCTTGGGTTCCAGCGGCGTAAAGCGAGGACTTTTACCTGCGCATGGGTGAGGAAGGGTGATCCCTCACCACAGGATCACTGCAGCAGCCTCGGGAGATCCCGCATCCTCCTGGCTGCTAAACATCCTTTTTGAGGGGTTAGCTTTAAAAACAAAAACAAAAACAAAAAAAAACTATAAAGCCCTGAGTGATAAGGATGCTATCGTCATTAACGTCATTTTAACATCTCCAATGGCTTATTTTATTTTTTTTTAAATGATTTTCCTTCTATCTGCTGTCGGACCGGGGGAAACGCCGCTGTCCAAGCCGGGCAAGATACTTTGCGGAAAGACTTTAAACCAACAAACCACCATCGATCCCGATTTAGATGTTGGCTTGTTGGCACGGCTGCTTCAGAAACACACACAGTATGCCTGACTAAGGTGGCTCAGGGGCTAAGACACTGAGCTCGTCGATCAGATAGATCGGCGTTTCAGCGGTTCGAATCCCTAGTTCAGTTCTCCTGTGGGAGCAGGGGGTTGGACTAGATGACCGCCAAGGGCCCTTCCATCTCTGTTACTGTTACATGCCTGTCTGCCCAGAATAAATGAGAATATTATAGAGTATAGGTAGTTTTCCGCTTAGGACCATCGTTAAGCCCCAAATTTATGTTGTTCGGTGAGTTTTGGCTCACTTTACAATGTTTTTTTGGTGGGGGCCAGATTCGTTAAGTGAATTACAGCAGTTGTAAAATGAGTCCCCCCCCCCCATATATCAGTTATGAGGTAAAGAAAGCCGCATAGATTTTTCTCTTCCCTCTGTGGGTTTACATATTGTGCTAAACCATGGTTGAATTAGACACAAGGTGTCAAACAAGCTATGATTATCACTAAGGTTCACATACTACAGAAACCAAAGAATTCACTGGTAGTCCTTGACTTATGACCCACACATAAGTGATTAAAAACTACCGGTTCGAGCAAACCTTTAGTTAAAAAACGCTACCAGTTCGTCCGAAGTGGTATTTCTGACGATCAGCTGTGCAGCACGGTTTAGCTTTGTTAGAAAGTAGGAAATCCAAGCAACTGAATTTTGATCATGGGGATACTCTGGCGGTCGTAAGTGTAAATTCCTTTTTTTCCAGCATGGTCGTAACTCCGAACAGTCGTTAAACGGATGGCCGTACCTTTAGTTTCATCTTGAAAGGATTCTGGCAGAATTCACTATTTTTGCACCTTTTTTTTCCCCGTCAGATTTTTAGTGATTTGACTCAATTTCGTCCGACTGTTAATTAAACACCCGTGTTTTAATCTGAACAATATTCAAAAGTGCAATCAAATTACAGAAAGTCCTCGATTTACAATGGGAGGGGGGGGAAGCCAGATTCACTTAACAACCAGGTGACTAACTTATCCACTGCAGTGATAACGTTTAACGACCGTGGCAAGAAAGGTCGTATAATGGGGCAAACCTCACTTAACAAACGTTTCATTTAACAACATTAAATTTCGGGCTCAATTGTGGTCGTAAGCCGAGGACCCGGATTGACAAGGGTCGAGGAACAGGCTCCAAAAAGAATCAAACCCACATTCTCACCAACTAACTTAGATTCCTAAAGGCCACACAAAAGGGGGAAAAAAAATATCCAAATATAGGGATTGTCTCAAGACTTGTATAATATAGAATTCTACCCATAAGTCTCCCATAAGACCGAGAAAACAGAACGTTTAATTCAACTACATATGCTAGTTTTATGGCTGCTCAAGAAATAGTCAGGCACGGGAAGGTTTTTGTGGCTCCCGGTGTTTTCTTTTCTGTGGGAAACGGGTCCAAATGGCTCTTTTGAGTGTTTAAGGTTGCAGACCCCCTGATCTAGCCAAGCCAAGAAAAGGAATACGGCTTCGTTTTTAATTAATCTTTCTGGGACAGGAAGTCCTCGACTT